GTCTAAATCATCAAATCAAGCACAATATATTAAGGTACATGGGTCTTCTAGATAAATGCATAGGAAAATTTGTAGCTCCTAGAGTGTTCATTCATCTGCAATCGAATCTTTGTCGATGTTATAAGTGGACACACATCGGCTGGCATGAGAGTGGTTAAATTGAAATAAAAAAATAATTAAATGCTTAAAATTTTAAAAAATATAAAAAAAAAATCCATTTTTAATCCAAAGTGAGTGTTCTTAGGCTTGTTGGAAATCTATTGATCTCTACTTTATTTTAAAAATATTTCCAATAATTTTTTATGAGTGGTCTTTAAGAAAATTAGAGATTTTAATTTACTAATTTTCTTGACTTCTCAAGATCCAACGATCAGATGGAACACAAATTTTGATGGTATATATAAGGATGCATTCTTGAGTTACCCTAATTTTCTTGGATCTTGGACTAACCAAAATTTCAATGAATTGAATTTTCAAGTTCATGGGCCCATTTTGGACCCTTAACTTTGAGAATTTATAAATATTCATACACATATAATTATATCATCATTTCTCTATAATGTGTTTATCTATATGTCAGGGTTAGTTTTCACTTATTTTACCAAAATCCATCGAGTCTTGATCTGAAAAAAAAATAAACAAATCTATAAATGTATTTATTTATTATGATTGATTTTTAAACATAGGGAGGCTTTGGTGAACTCAACTTTAGTGGGTTTAAAGCACGTGCATGTATGTACCTATGTTTTCAATTTTATAATATTTGGAGGACGTTTGGTTTATCATTTAATAAGCCTAAAATTCATGTGCATAATTGACCTAATTAATTTAAAATTTTATAATAAATTCATTTTAATTCAAACAATTATATATAATATATGAAAATGCTTAAAATAAAAATCTAAATAGAGGAAATTAAGACCCCCTTAAAATTCATTCAATATTAAAAATAATTTAAAAATTTTAAAATATATATATTTAAATAAATAAATAATAAAAATAAATGAAAATTACAAAAATAATTGAAAACACTTGAAATCATCCCTAGATGTCATTTATGGAATTTTAGAATGATTTAAAGAGGCATATAGTTGATTTAATAAAAAAATTAAAAAATATCCTTAATTAAAAATTAAATAAATTCATTAAATTATCAAAATTAAATAATTCATAACTAATTATAGAAAACTCCAAATTAAGCAAAATCAAAGACATTGGACTCATCTCGAAGTTTGATATTTATGACAATTAAAAAACTTCAAAAACCACTATAAATCAAAATGTCAATGTTTGAGTCAAACTTAATACATAAAATACACTAAACTTGCATTATTGAGGTTGAGTACTTTTCTAGAGGCCTTGCTGATCTTTTTGAGAAGTATCCTAGCCTATACTTTAGAACTTTATATCGACTTCATATTTTCCAATTATGTTTTGCAGATGATTTTATTATTTTTACTAATGCCTCGATGAATAGGATTCACAGACTTCTGAGGTTTTTTTACCAATTTGAATTGGTGAGTGGGCTAGCTTTAATAAATATAAGTGTAGTTTGATTGCTGCTAAGAAAGTTCCTATGGATCGTATTGTGGCTATTAAGAATTTAACTTCTTTCAACAATGTTTATTTTCCTTAAAAGTACCTTGGTGTTCCTCTTTATAAGGGTAGAAAGAAAACCTTCCTTTTTGATAATTTAATTACGATTGTGCAAAATAAACTTTTATCTTGGAATTCTAATTTCTTAAGCTTTGGTGGTTGGTTAAATCTTATTAAGAGTGTTCTTTTTTCTATCCTTGTTTATAGTTTTCAAACTCTATTTCCTACTCAGGCTGTTTGTAATAAGATTAATAGGATTTTTAACATGATTTTCGAAAAATGCTAGTGGCCACTCTTAAATCCACTACTCCTCTTGGGATAAATGATGTGGCACATTGGATGAAGGTGCTCTGGTTTGTAAGTCTTTGAAGGGTTTGGCTTATTTATTTTCTTTTAAGTTGTGGTATAATTTCATAGCTAATTCGAGCCTTTGGGCTAAATTTATGAATGCTAAATATTATGGGGGAAGCATCCCACCACGTGTTGTTTTAGTAAAGGTAACTCTAAAATTTGGTAAGTCTTTGCAAAGTGAAATGGTTCCTTGAACCGTCTATATGTTGGGGCCTTGGTAGTGGAAATATTTTTCTTTTAGAAGGTTTTTTGGTTGGGATGCTAATCCATCGATTCTATTATCAATAGTTCTTCTAATGCCACTGTGAAGGTTAATTATTTTGTCACTGAGAATGGTTGGGATGTTCATAAACTATCTAATGTTCTATCAAATTCTCTTATACAACAAATTTTACAGATCCCTTCAAACATTAACTCTCCTGATGTTCAGATGTGTGCCTTTTCTAAAGATGGTAAATTTAGATTAAAGGATGCTTGGAATTCCATTAGAGCTAAGAAAGAGGCTTTCAATATGATATAACATAAAAGTATTCCTTTTTTTTAAGAAGAAGAAGAAAAAATGCATTTATAACTAAAAAAGGAAAAGAGCAACCTACAAAGTACCTCCTTTAGATTCCACCTTTAACAAATTAACAAAAGAAGGAGGAACCTTATTCAAAACAATTTATTCCCAAAAAAAGAAGAAAAAATAGCATAGTTAGCATATAGATCTGTTAACTTATTACAACTCCTTTCTATACAATTAAAAAAAAAAAGTTATTAAAATCCTTAATAAAAGAAAGTTTTTCTACTCCTTGTTCACCTCTTTTAATTGCATTTTTTATGAACTTGATGATGTTGGCATTGCACCTTCAATAATGATGCCCTTATACTCAAACATCCAATCTTTAATGACATCTTTAATGGCTTTTATAGCTAGAAGACCCAAATGAGCTATATCCCAACGAACAAAAGGTTTGCTAAAAGCCAAAATAAGCCTCCCTTTATGATATCTAAAAATACCACCTATCCCACCTTTGTAAGAAGGTAAAAAGGATTCATCTACATTAATTGTGATCCAATTGGGTGGAGGAGGATGCCAAATATTTTCCAATAACAAATGATGATTGGTAACTAACCAGCTCGAGTTAAAATGATTATAAACAATAGAAATAGCCACATGACTAGCCAATTCGGCTGCAATGAACATTGAGCTCCTCTCAGATTTCCCATGAACAAATTCATACCTCTCTTTCCTTGTAAAGAACATCGCATTGCAAAATAAATTCACTAATAAGGAATTTTGATGATCCAGCCACTTACATCTATATTCAAAGGAAATAATAATTGGGGCACTGATGCCCCATTTTTTTAAATGGTTTAAAACCTCGTTAAGCTTCTTGCATTTGCTGGTCACATGATCTAAGTCTTTAATCTCATTACAACCTCCAAGACAAAGATTACATGTTTTCAATCTTCTATATGATAATAAATGTAAGGTTGGTATAACATTATTAAATAATCTCCACCAAAAGTTTTACACCCTAGCATTGATCTTAGCCTTCTTTATCCAATCCATGTACTTCTGTTTAGGACGCCATTGCTCCAATACTGTAGCCAATGCTGAGATAGACTTCCCAATCTTTTTTTGAATAAGTTCAAGCCAATCTCCATGAGAATTTGAATAAATCTCTATGTTACTAATCAATTCCACAAGATCATTACCAAAATTCTTCTTCAATTCATCAATATTCCACCTACGTTTAGAAATGAGTGTTTACCGTCCATGTTTCTTCATTGACATCTTTAGACAGCACAAACATTGGCCACATATTTATACATTTATCTTTTTATTTTTTGAAGAAAATGTATAAAATTGCATTAAAAAAAGAAGAACCTAAAGCAACAAACTAAGGACTCACCATACTAGATTCCTTCTTTAATAAAGACATAAATAAAGGTGGAATCTTATCTAAAGTAATATCTTCCCAAATAAAAGAACTCATAATCCCATAGTTAGCACATAAATCCGCTAACTTTTTACATCTTCTATCAACATAATTGAAAATAATTTGAAGAAACCCATCAAAAGTTAGAATGTTACCATATTTTGAGGATTATTTTGAGTCTTGCAAGAACCTCATCACATTAGCATTGTCTCCTTCAATAATAATGCCCTTATATTCGAACATCCAATCCTTTATCACTTCCTTGATTGATTGAGTAGCAAGTAGAACCATAGTAGAAATATCCCAATGAACATATGATTTGTTAAATGCTAATAGAAATCTACCTTGGTGATCACGAACCACACCACCAATTCCATCTTGATAAGAAGGTAGCAGGGAAGCATCCACATTGAATTTAAGAAAATCGGGTGGAGGGGGATACCAATGGATATTGGACAGCCATGAAGGTTGGTTAGTATCCCATTTACCCGAGAAATTAATAGATCTTTGAGCCATAGATGATGAATAACTCACATCATTAGCACCAATAATCATGGAGTTGTCTTCTTTACCATTATGAATCAAATTATTCCTAGATTTCCAAGTGAAGAAAATCACATAGCAATAAAGATTAACCATGAATGAGCATTGATTAGACAACCAGTTGTTGTATTCCAGCAATGAATCAAAAGCCGGAATATGAAAGCCCCACTTTTAAATTTGGAAAAAAACTTCCTTCAATTTTTTGCATCTAGCTGCAACATGGTTTAAATCTTCATCTTCAAAACAATCTCTCGGGCATAGACTGCAATTAAGCAATCTTTTACAAACCAGCAGCTTCTTAGTGGGAATGGCATCATTGAAAATCCTCCACCAAAAATTTTCCACCCTTGGATTCAGCTTTGCTTTCTTAATCCAGCTCCAATAATTTATGTCGCCCGTATGATTGACAGATTTTTCAAGTATCATAGCAGAAATTGATTTACCACACAATTTATGCATAAATTCTCTCTTGTCTTCCAATGAATCAGTGTTAATCTTAATTTTAGAAATTAAGTTGACAAGATCAGTACTAATGAGGTTACCAATAGCAGTCTCATTCCATCTACCGTCAGTGATTAAATTTCAAACAGTAAAACTGTTATCATCATGTGGAATAACAAAGGTTGGCCATTTGTTTAAACTCTTGTCTAATATCCATGTGTCACTGAAAACGTCAATGTTAACCCCATTGACAACATTCCATCTAATAATTGGTTTAAGACAATTACCTACATCAGATAAAATCTTCCATGAAGCAGATCCCGCTCTCCTTGAAACTCCTTCTTCTAGAACACTTCCATATTTTGGAAATAGAATTCTGTGAAGCAGAGAATCCTTGTCTTCCATGTATCTCCATGCCAATTTTGCTGTCAACGGTCCTACAATACTACAGCAAGAGTGGAGTCCTCTTCCTCCATAAGCCATTGGTAAACACATTAAGTTCCAATTGACATAATGAATGCCATTATTACCATTGGATTTATTCCAGATAAAATTTCTGCAAATTTTATCAATTTCATCAAGCACACTATTAGGAACTAAAAAGTTTGTACAATGGCATATGGTGAATGATAAAAGAATAGATTTAGACAACAAGATCTTCCCTGCTAAAGAAATATGCCTTCCTCCCCAAATGTTTGTCATCTTCAAAGCTTTATCAATGATAAATTGGAAATCTTCTTTAGCTAGTCTTCTAGTGACTAACTTTATTCCAAGATAATTCAATTCTTTTGCTATCTTGAAACCCATGATTCGAACAATAGATTTCTTCAACCTTCTATTAACCATCTTCCCAAAGATCATGCTAGATTTGTTCAAGTTGATACAAAGGCCAGACCATTCATAGAATTTCTTCAAAACAGATTTTACTTCCTTAACCATCTTAAATTTAGTTTCTGAGAAGATGATCACATAATCCGCATACAACAAATGAGAAAGTCTTGGACCCTTTGAGCACAACCGAATTCCAATATTGTCTTCTCTTTGTTTCAAAGCATTTGAAAGAAGTTGAGAACAAAGAATATAAATAAAAGGAGACAAGGGACAACCTTGTCTAAAGCCACTCTTACCTTCAATCCAATTAGAGAGATTGCCATTGATAAGGATTGAAAATTTTGAATCTTGAATACATTCCAAAATAAGACTTGAGAATTTGGTAGGAAAGCCGAAATACTTCATGGCTTTCCTTAAGGTAGGCCAACCCATATAATCAAAGGCTTGTTCCATGTCTATTTTGAAAGCAACCAATCCTTTAGTAGAATGAGAATGCCTAAATTTATGAATGACCTTTTGGGCAATAAGAACTTGATCTGATAAAGATCTACCTTTCAAAAATGCAGCTTGTTCTTCAGAGATTAATTTAGGGAGGAAAGAAGACATTCTATTCATTAAAATGTTTGCCGCCACTTTATAGACCGTGTTACATAAGCTAATTGGTCTATAATTGGAAGGAACTAAAGGGTTAGAAACTTCATGAAAAAGAACTATAATGGTTTCCTTCCAATTAGAATCCATAACAGAAGACTCCAAAAAAGCATTAATAGCATTCCAAAAGTCAAATTTAATAATATCCCAATAAGCTTTAAGAAAGGATAAGGTAATACCAACATTACTTGGGGAAATGTTATATCCACTTTGCATGATTACGTCTTCAACTTCTTTAACCGAGAAAGATTTTTCCAGCAAAAATCTGTCTTCATCATCAAGAGTTTGCCACGGAATAGGCCAATTTTCCATATTGCATTCTATATTCCTCCATTTCTTTTTGAAGTAATTGATCAACACTTCTTCTATACATTGTTGATCCTCCACAATCACTCCATTGTCATTTTTAATCTTTGTAATAAAGTTTGAGTTCCTTCTAGCCAAAGAAAAAGTATGGAAAAATTTGGAATTACGGTCACCTTCCATCATCCACTTAATCTTTGCTCTTTATCTCCACCAAGTCTCCAATCTAGCAAGAGTTGAATTAAACTCTTCTACTTTAACTTTGAGTACCCAGCTATCATGTTTTGAGAGAAATCCATCTTCCACCTCCTTCATTTGAAAATCTTCAATTTGTTTTAAGAGATCTCCTTTAAAAGTGATTAAGCATTTCATTTTTGCTTTACTCCAATAGAATAGAGCCTTTAAGAGTCTTCTTCATCTTAGTATTAAGAATATGAGAAAACTAACCTTCACATCTTCTATTCCATACGCTTTTTACAACTGCAGCCGAAGCCTTGCTAGAAGCCCAAATGTCATAAAACCTCAAAACTTTCTTGGAAGCATGATGAGTCATGAGATTTAGGAGGATTGGAAAATGATCAAAGGCCACACGAGCCAAATGTCTAACCACAACTTGATTGGAAGAGTTCAAAGCAACTAAGTTTAAAAGGCATCTATCACGCCTCTCAAGAATTTGATCAACTCCAATTTGGTTGTTGCACCAAGTAAATTTCAGTCCCACATAGCCAATATCATGAAAATCATGATTTGATAAAAAATTCTTCGTCTCTTTAGGTCCAAGGGAAAACTTAAATCTTTTCCCTCCTCTCTTGTCTTCTTTAGAAAGAATACAATTGAAGTCACCTCCTATCACCATATTCAATTCATTGGAGGAATGCATTCCCAATCTTTCCCAAAGACTTCTTCTTTTATAAACGTCCTTATTACTATAAATAGTGGCATTCCTCCATTTGCATATGTTTGGTACCTCCAAATCTCCAATAATAAGCTGTGAAGATGCCTCCAACAATTGAAATCTAGCATAATTTGATTTCCATAACACAAGGATTCCACCTGATAAGCCTTCAGAAGGAACTTGAACAAAATCCCAATAAATTCCAATAAGATGATCAACATCCTTCCTGTCAAAATAGGAAATTTTAGTCTCCAAGAGACCAATGAAGAACATCCCATGCTGCTTAACCACCTCCTTTAAGTATAGAGAAGCCCTCCTTTTTCTAGCTCCTCTACAATTCCAAAATAAAATTGAAGAGTTCATAAATTAAGAAGGGATGAAGTGCCCGCCTTAAATTCTACCTTTTCTTTATAAACAACATGTCATCTTCTATTCCTTGGTACCAAATTAATAGGCCCGAAGTTTTTTAATTGTTTAGAACCCCTCTTCTTAACATTGGAATAAGAATCTTCCTTGAATTCAATGTTTTCCTTCATATCCTTGATAACTTGAGGACTTTTTC